ACTTGAAGTTAGGAATATTGGCTGTATACTTGATTGATTTCTGTTGAGAAAGGAATGTGCAAATTAAATGCCCAGTCAAGAACCACTTAAGCCAACAATCAACTCGAAGATGCCAATCCACATCGAGTCTTTCCCAGGAATGTGGCTTGGCTGGTAAAAACTGAGTCACGCATGAACATGTGACTTGCCCATGTGACTCCAAAAGTCCATCTTGGAGCTGGACTTTGCATAGGAGTGAGGAGGGGGGGTCTCCACCCACAAGCGAAAGTCGATTTAAACCCCTGGGAGACCCCTCCATTTTGTCTGAAAGAAACTGGAACAAAGGACAGTAACTACAGGGGGTGTGAGTGACTGCTGGACCCAGACTAGCAGGAGACTGGTCTGTAAAAGAAAGCTTACTGGAACTGGTGCGTTTTTTATTTTACTTGGTAATTCACTTTGTTCTGTCTGTTACTACTTGGAAACACTTACTAATTAACTGTATTAATGTATTAAGTACAGAAATTAACTTTCTGTATTTAATAAAATCGCTTTTTACTTATTAATTAACCCAGAGTATGTATTATACCTGGGAGAGCAAACAACTGTGCATATCTCTCTATCAGTGTTATAGATGGCGAACAATTTATGAGTTTACCCTGTATAAGCTTTATACTGGGTAAAACGGATTTATTTGGGTTTAGACCCTATTGGGAGTTGGGCATCTGCGTGTTAAAGACAGGAACACTTCTGTGAGCTGCATTAGGAGTAACTAGAGTCCCCCCCACCCCCGCGGCTCACCCTGGATCTCTGGGTACTTCATGAGGAGCAGGAAGCCGTAGCGCAGGGTGGTGCTGACGGTCTCCGTGCCCGCGAAGAACAGGATGTGCGTGGTCATCACCAGGGTTTCCGTGTGGAAGTAGCTCAGTGGGTCCTGTTTTTTCTGCAGGGGAATTGCCCAGAATTCGAACCCGCAGCGCTCGGGTATCTCCCACCGTCTCCCCCTAGTGGTGGCTCCACGGATGCAATTTCTGGGTCTACTGCTCCTGCCGGGCGAGGGGGCTAATCCTTTAGCTCAAGGAGCCGAGCCGGATGCTGTTAGCCCCGCATCTCCCCGGTTCAAAGCCCACGGCTGGTGAGAGCCTCTCGGAACAGCCAGGGGCCCAGTAATGCTGGACTTTCAGGACCTCTGCTATATTCAGCAGAGGCAGCATACACTTCTCGTTAGCACGGGGGCTGTGGGAAAGGACTGGGGTCTAGTGGTTAGAGCACAGAGCTGGCCTTCGGGACTCCTGGTTCTATCTCCAGCCCTGGAGGGGATTGGGGTCGAGTGGTGGAGAGGGACAGAGTCAGGAGTCCTGAGTTCTATTCCTGACCTGCTGAGTGACCTCGGGCAAGTCACTTCCCTGTCCCTCCCATACCTCAGTTTCCCCCACTCTAAGCTGTCCTGCCTCCCAGGGTGGTGCGTCACGCGAACTAAGCCGTTAATGTTTGCAAAGCGCTCCCAGGCACGCCTCAAACCACAATTCCCTGGCAATGCTGCCCGCATCGAGGGCAGGGCTGTGAGAACGTGATTCCAGAAAGCCTTTGACAAGGTCCCTCACCGAAGGCTGTTACGTAAATTAAGCTGTCATGGGATAAGAGAGGTTTCAGAGTAACAGCCGTGTTAGTCTGTATCCGCAAAAAGAGGAACAGGAGTACTTGTGGCACCTTAGAGACTAACAAATGTATTTGAGCATAAGCTT